AGAAGGTATCCCTTATACCGTAAAGTATTCGCAAAAATTTGTCTGGAATAAGGGTCTTTGACAGTTCTGTTGCAGGTCTAGGTAAATAATTTGACGTTAGTATACTTAAATACCAGTCATATATGTCATGGATTTACTCAATACTGTTTATTTTAAGGTGGATGTCCCTTCGCTAAAGGAGCAACGGGAAATGTTGCCACGGAGGATGTGGTGTATATGCTTCATGGAATGGGATACGAAACAGGTGTCGACTTGTTGGAGCTAGTGAGAGTTGGGAATTATATATCCCAGCAATTAGGTCGTTCGAATGGATCTAAAGCAGCCATAGCTTTGAGTTCAAAATTACAAATAAATTGAATTGCATTCAAAAAAACTTTTGCTCAAATTTCATTTAAGGCACACTAGAGATTAATTCAAATATGGTTAGAATGTTTTAATTATGTATTACAACTTGGTTTATTCATTACGTATTCTGTATAGGCGACAGGAGACTATTTATCATAACCGAATAAATCTTAGAACAAGCATCAGTACACTGCTCGAAAGCCTACATTAATATTAAATAATTAAATTAAATCATAGTCCGCTTGTTTAATAAGGGAAGTGTCAGATATCAGCTGATATCATAGGGTAGGGGGGAGGTAGACAAAATTTCAGGTCTAAATATATACATATGACCAATCAGAATGACTAAATTTCTCAGGAGGGGGGGAGAGGGGATGAGCTCTATAGTAAATTGATCTCAGCTAATATCTGACACGTCCATAACAGTAATGGAGATTCTTACTTGAGTTGCTAAAGCCAGATCAACATCACCAGACTGTAATATATGTGTTACTTCTTTTAACGAAGGCATATATGATAGGATCAAATATCCAGTTTCGTGTTGTTCTTCTACAAGGTCACTGTCCATGTAAATCTCACCGCTGATATACGACTAATTACGGAAAAAGAACAAAAGATCTATCCATTACTTTACATAAGCAAATACAGCATAATGTTTGTTTTTTTACCGCCGATGATGCTGGTACTAAATCCAACATCTCAATCCCTGCGTCAGCCACAGCAACTGACGCACATGTAATGGCAGCTGCCAAGCAAGACGCTGTTCCGTCGTTTTCAAGTACTGTAATGTAAATATCGATAGTAGATTTTGGCAATAAATCAAGTCTTATTGAAGGCACAAGTGCTTCAATAACTAGCTGAGAAAGGTCTTTTTTCCTGTGCATCCTAAAAATTGCTCATAATGCAACATAAAATAAACGACAACATTAAAGTGCATTTTGCAATTAAAGTTTAATCAATCCTACTCTATATGGTTGTCTACGTTTTTGACACGAGAAAGGCGCAAATTTAATTTCAACATTCAAATTTCCTTTTCCACTGAAGGATGGAATTTTTGCGAATACTTTACGGTATAAGGGATACCTTCTACCAATACAATGTACTTCCGTACACATAAATTATTTTCATTTATCAATGCCAGATATGCGTCTTCTTTACTTAATCAAGTAAGCGTTTAGAAACTAGCTTGAATTTGTACAAAAAATGACTAACTTTTTACTCGTTTAGCGTTGGGGCCCACATACAGGACCAAAAGCAGTAAAAATTGTGGAAGTGAGCCCCCGCGATGGTTTGCAGAATGAAAAACAATTTATATCAACAGAAAACAAAATTGAATTTATCAATAAATTGTCCCAGACTGGTTTAAAGGTTATAGAAACAACGTCATTTGTGTCTCCGAAACTAGTGCCACAGGTAAATTAATTATCAGTATTAATTATCAGATTTAAATTAATTTAATTTTAATTTTTTTTTTTCGTGGTTCTTCAAGATGTCAGATGCTACTGAAGTTATGGCAAAAATTACACGCAAATCAGGTGTGGATTATCCCGTCTTAGTACCTAACCTTACGGGATTGCAAAAAGCTATATCATCTGATGTAAAAGAAATAGCAATATTTGCATCTGCTTCTGAAACATTCAGCAAAAGGAATATTAATTGCACAATCAATGAAAGTTTGGAAAGATTTCAAGATGTTGTAGATATAGCAAATGCAGAAAGAATTGCTATCAGAGGGTATAGCAACTAGTTTTTATAATGATAAATGCCTATGCAATGTTATGCCATTTAATGGCTTGCCGTTTATTTAGGTATGTTTCTTGCGTTCTTGGATGTCCTTATGAAGGAGAGATTTCTCCCATTGCGGTTGCTACGATCGCCGAGAAATTGTACAAAATGGGTTGTTATGAGATTTCTCTAGCTGACACGATTGGCGTTGGTACTCCTGGTCTGTTGCGTTATTGCTCTGGTTTATGAACTTTGTAATGGTATTAAATCGAGTTAGTAACGACGGTCCATAAATCAAGGTTCTTTGTCAAGGATGTTGAAAGCTGTATGTCAGGTTCTGCCAACGGAACGTATAGCACTGCATTGTCACGACACTTATGGTCAAGCCCTTGCAAATATACATTACGCACTAACGGTTGGTATTTTTAGTTTCATGAATAAATTTCAGAACCATAATTACTAAGATGATTACTGCCGTGATTATTATTCAGTTCTTATAACTTTCTAAATTAGGGGACTGACTTTTCGCAAGAAATTGTTCTTGGGTCTTAAAGCCTACTTCTAGGTTATAACTGGCCGCTTATATTGTAAGTGTGGCTTTGACAAGTTTTTTTTTTTATTGTGCCATAAATTAAGAAAAGAAAAATGTTTACCGATCTATCAATGCTTACACATTATTTTATTTAGAT